TTTTCCCCCCCCCCCCCCCCCCCCCAACCCCCAATTTTTCCTATAAATACCCTCACACCCCAACCGAATTTTGAATTTTGAATTCTATTTAAAAGTACTTCTTTTAATTTACTTATTAATAAAATATTTCAAAAAATCATTTTAAATTCGAAATCTTTAAAATTTGGAATTTAAAATTAAGTTCAAGTCTTTTCATTTATTTCCTTTTCCTTTTTCTATTTAAAAGTACTTCTTTTAATTTACTTATTAATAAAATATTTCAAAAAATCATTTTAAATTCGAAATCTTTAAAATTTTGAATTTAAAATTAAGTTCAAGTCTTTTCATTTATTTCCTTTTCTTTTTTTTTATTTAAAAGTACTTTTAATTTACTTATTCATAAAATATTTCAAAAAAAAAAAAAAAAAATCAAAATTTCCGGGTCGACCCGGAACCGGCCCGGATAGGCCCGGAACCGGCGGGCCGACCCGGCCCGTTGAACCGCCCATACTACGGGCCGGTTCCGGTTCCGGAAAATGTGAACCGTGAACCGGTTTGAACCGGCCCGAACCGGCCCGTGGCCGTGTCTAGTTGTGTATGGGTTGTTTTCCTTGCAGGCTAATATAGATTGGGCTAGGACTAAATTCAGATTAATATTGGGCTAAATTCATACTATTTATTTTTAGCCCAGTAAATTTGGTAACCAATTTTAGTTATAATGTAATTATAGTTTAGAAGAATTAAAATATCATATGAACATTTAAAAGCATTGCGGTTAGTTTTCTTTTTTTTTTTTTTTTTTTTGGTACGAAAGAAACCCGTACGTAGCAACAATATATGTGTATTGGGTAAACCTAGACTCTCATATAATAACTTGTAAACTATACGAAAGGCGTAAACCACACTAAGCTAACCATGTGTAACAAGTTCGACCTAACGACCGTTGGTAAGGGGATTCAAACTTGAAATATTTGGAAATTTTGAAATTCATATTTGAAAACTGGAATGAAAAAAAATATAGTTTTCAAAATTAAAATTTATAGATCTGAACCTATGTAACACGGACACGGAAATGGCGATACGGGAAAACGGGAAAACGAGCACAGGAAAACGGCATGGCCAAAATATAGGGATACTGGACTTTAGGGAAAATATGTAAATATTAGAAGTATAAGGATATATTTATAAATATGTTGCATAAATATTTATATAAGTTTTTATTTATATATAAATTATTTGTATATATTTTCGTACAAATATATTCAGAATAAATATTACTATCAACTATCAATTTGCAATTAATCATTAAATCATATAAATAATTAATAAATCAAGAAAAAATATTTAAAAATTTGATATTCAAACATGTCTTTAACTTTTTAGAAATTACAAAATGACGCAGTTAATGTCCGACATATGCCATCGAGTGTCAGAATTTGATTGATGTAAGGGGGAAAAGTTCAAGAATAGAGTGTGACAAAATATTTATGTAATCATATGCCAATTTGCCATTTTTCATATGCCAATTTGGCTGGTCGTTTCATTCAACATGCATGAACTTTACCAGATTAATTATTGCATGATGACAATATTAAAAAAATATAAAATAAAAATAAAAAAATAGTTCCAAAATCATTGTCCTTTACTCCATCAAGTTGGGAAATTAATGAGCGGATGAAATTAAATATTTCAAATAAAGGTAACCTTACAACTTGTAGATATATATATATATATATATATATATATATATATATATATATATATATATATATATATATATATATATATATATATATATATATATATATATATATATATATATATATATATATATATATATATATATATATATATATATATATATATATATATATATATATATATATATATATATATATATATATATATATATATATATATATATATATACATATATATATATATACACATATATATATGTGTATATATATACAAAAAAATACTGACATATATATCTATATATC